GCTTGCTTCGAGCAGGTGGAGTTTGCCCGTACGGGGCGCACTGCTGCAAACAGTCGCCTTAAGTAGAGGTCCCGAGCCAGACCCCCCCCCCGTCCCCTTCCCCACTTCCGCCCCAGATCGAAACGCCGAATAAAAGAAACGCTCACCTAACCATCCTAGGTTTGCCAGGTTTCGGACGCCACTCGTTGATTCGGCACCTCGTCCTCACTCGATCCTTCCCGCGCTGGGCGTCCAGATCGAACCGTGCGGTGTGGCTTCCAGATCGAAGCGCCGAGCAAAAAAACGCTCATATGTCTGGGTCGCCTCGGCAGGCCCGAGCCGAGAAAAAGAGGTGTTCGAGCTCTTCGCACTCGGAGGATGCTGTGGTTCTGCGCGTGCGCGGCGTGCTGCTCGTTCCTCTCTCTTGGCCCTCTTGGCCCCGGGGGGGAGGCTCCTCGTAGCCCACGTGCAGACGCACACCCCTCTCGTCGCGATGTTTTCCAACATTCGTTGATACAAACATTGCAACATCAAAAACACGTTTCTGCCCCCCCCCCAAAAAAAATACCCTGCGACGTACCCAACCCAATGGCATCAAGTGGCAAGCGGAGTAGGGAAACATTAGCAGGAACCGTGACAGTGCAGGCGCGGCGATGTGTAGTGCGACCTACATGGGATGCGTAATGTTGCACGACTCACAGAACAGCAATCGATAAGACGAGGAGTATGTCTCAAGGCTTGTTAAACAATAGCGGGGGCGGGAACGAGGGACAGGAGAAGGACGAACCCAGTAGGAAGGGGCGAGGAGCCATCGCAGCAGCAGCACCATGAACGCATAAGGTAACAGGAGGACTAGGGCGGCGATGATGAAAGAGGAGGGAGGAAGCAAGAGACTGCTTCGTTGTTGCAGGAGCTCGGTCAACGCATGCCTGCTGCCTGTCCACAGGATCATACCTGTTTATATCTAGTGCAGGAAGCGATCGAGACCTAGCTCGCGCGCCAGCTTCTCTGCCTCCTTCCTGCATGTTGCAGTGCGGGAGTTGAACTTCCGCAGTTTCTCCGCAAGGTCTGCCGGTGGGCCGCGGGCAAGAAAGTCAAGGCCGGGGTCGCGCACCATCAGTAGGTTGTCTATCGTCGTCGCCCTGGACAGCACCACGTAGAGGTGCAGCCACAGAGCGTCCAGGTCGTTCGCATCCTTGCACCCTGCGTCAACAATGACTCCGCGGTGCATGGCGCGGCCCTGGCAGGCAGTGGACGTCAGGACTTCGGCGTGGGAGATGACGAAGCCAGTGCGCGTGACCTTGTACTTGCGGAAGTCGAACGGGCTCGAGCTCTGTGGCTCGATGAAGACGAGGCCCGCTGCGTTCGCAGCGTCGATGCTGTCATCGAGCTCCTTGAGCTTCTTTCCGCAGGGGCCACCCTTGTACTTGTCCATGCGCGCCCACACGCCGTACCGCAGGTACCGCAGGTGCGCCCGACCTCCCTCGGCCTTCGCTCTCTCCACCACGCCCTCATCCTTCGGGTTGATGGCCACGTGCACGACCTCGCCCTCGGCGTCCTTGACGAGCCCCTTGTCGAGGTCCAGGTGCTCCAGCAGGCGTATGCGCATGCCCACGTGCAGCGGCAGCATCCCGTGAATGCCGCCCGTGTCGCCCGGGTTGACGCGGTTGACCAGCTTCGCGGCCAGGTCCACGGGCAGCGAGGGCGAGGACTTGTCGGCTGCCTGGACGAGGTAGAGCACCCGCCCGAGGGACGCGGCGTCCCTCCTCGCCCGCATCATCATCCACCGAGCCACGGTGCCCCAGAACCAGGCGATCATGTGTCCAGTCTGGAACCGCTCCTCGCCAAGTCGGGGGTCGTTGGGCTTCATCTGAATGCGTCTCCAGGGATGGCGAGGTCTAATCTGAATCTGCGTGGTGCCTCACTCCGCTGGACCCATCAGCAGCCTTCGAAAGTGACGACAGTTTCGCAGATCGCAGCCCCCCAGGGACGGCGAGGTCTAATCTGAATCTGCGTGGTGCCTCACTCCGCTGGACCCACCAGCAGCCCTCGAAAGTGACGACAATTTCGCAGATCGCAAACCCCCAGGGATGGAGAGGTCTAATCTGAATCTGCGTGGTGCCTCACTCCGCTGGACCCACCAGCAGCCCTCGAAAGTCGAGGTCTAATCTGAATCTGCGTGGTGCCTCACTCCGCTGGACCCACCAGCAGCCCTCGAATGTGGCGACAAGTTCGCAGATCGCAGCCCCCCAAGGATGGCGAGGTCTAATCTGAATCTGCGTGGTGCCTCACTCCGCTGGACCCACCAGCAGCCCTCGAAAGTGGTGACAGTTTCGCAGATCGCAGCCCCCCAGGGATGGCGAGGTCTAATCTGAATCTGCGTGGTGCCTCACTCCGCTGGACCCACCAGCAGCCCTCGAAAGTGGCGACAGTTTCACAGATCGCAGCCCCAAAGGGATGACGTAAAAGGCAAGAGAGAGGAGGAGGAGCGAAGAGAGGAGGAGAAGGGAAGCAAGAGAGGAGGAGCGAAGAGAGGAGAAGGGATGCAAGAGAGAAGAGGAGGAGCGAAGAGAGGCGGAGAAGGGAAGCAAGAGAGGAGAGGAAGAGGGAAGAGAGGAGGAGGAGGCGGGAAGGAAGGAAGGTGGAGACCGCAGTGCTCTATTCAAAACGAGTACCCAACGCAGGAGGGTTGGGAAAAACACGACGGGGGATTCCTGCCACTGTTCGGCTTCCGGAGGGCCTCAAGCGGCCCTGGGGCTGCTCGCCAGGTTTGCGCTGGTCTCGGGACGGGGGCCCCTCTGCCTGGAGGGGCGCGCGTTGTCAAAAAAAACGTCGGCGTCGGGGTTCTGGAGAGCGACAGACAGACAGACAGGCAGACAGGCAGGCAGACAGACAGGCAGGCAGACAAACAGACCGACAGACAGACAGACAGACAGAGAGAAGTTAGAGAGAGCGGCAGAACAAAAAACGTGCACGTCAGAGATGCAGTGGCCGAAGGGTGCAGCGACCTGCGGGTGGCAGTCCTCGGAGGGGCTGGAGAACGGGGAGGGAGAAGAGGGCCAGAGCGTGGACGAGACGGACGGGGGCGATGCCCGGCGGCAGTTGTTGTTCGTGCTGGGCCAGGTTTCGCTGTCGGTCTCGAGACGACCAGTGGTCCGCTTGGCATTCAGCCAGCATCCTTTGCCCAAACCCAGGTTGGGTCTGTTTCGCAGCACGATCGACATGGGTACCGAAATAATGGGGACGAACACCGACAGCTGTTCCCGCCCATTCTGAACAGGACGCGCCGTCGGTGTCGCCGCGGACGCCGTCTATCTGAGGCAGGAAGTCGCCTGCCAAGCAGTGGCCGATGTCGGTTTTGGACAACATTGGGCACTGGGCATCGTACCATTGTTTCCCATAGTGATCGTTTTTTATTCATTGTTTTGCCGATCGGCGCGGGCCCTCGCACCCCCCCTCTCCCCCCTCCCACCCCCCCTGGAGTAAATCTTGGCTGTTTTTTGGCGCCTGTTTCGAGCGGGTGGAGTCTCCCCCAGAGGCAGCACTCTAGCAAACAGTCGCCCTAAGCAGAGGAGCCAGGTTCTCCCCCCCCCTCCCCCTCCCCACTTCCGCCCCATGTCGAAACGCCGAATAAAAAAAACGCTCACCCACCCATCTGGGCTTGCCAGGTTTCGGACGCCACTCGTTGATTCGGCACCTCGGCCTCATTCGTTCCTTCCCGCGCGGGGCGTCCAGATCGAACCGTGCGGTGTGGCGTCTCTGCGCGGCGCCGTGTCCCAGCAAGGAGTGGCACGATTGGTCTCGTTTCCCTCTCCTTCGCCCCCTCCCGCGGTGCTGCCAACAAAAGACATCAATCGACTTCGTGTCTGCACCCCCCGTCTCCTCTGGCGCAGCGTTTCTCTGGCGCCTCCAGCAGGTGTTTGATCTCTGTGTTCGGGGCAGCTGGTTGTCTCACACCCAACGTTACATACACCAAGTGGGCAATTTGGTCTGAAGATTGGCTTCAAGCTCCGTTAACTCAAGCGCGGTGTAGTCGCGGTGCGCGCAATTGCCTTCTAGATGGCGTGCCTGGACATCCTCTCCGACGACGATGGCGATGCTGGGGGTGCTGAGGCGGCGGTATCCACTGCGGCGGTGCCTGAACTAGCAGTGGCAGCAGCCAAGGCGACGGCTGGGACCGACATCCTGTCGGACGACGATGACGACGGCAACACAGGATTAGCTAAACAGGGGCCCGCGCCACCGCAGCCAGCACCCGTCGCCGCGCCAGCACAGGAGATTCTGCAAGGGCCGCCCGACCTGGCGCGGCTGCACCAGGGGGAGATGCTGAACGATGCGGTGCTAGACTTCTTCTTGAGAGCACTGGCGAAGCGGCTGGGCAAGGGCGCCGTGCACGCCTTCAGCGCGCTGTTCTTCGGGCGCCTGGCGGAAGCGGGCTACGACTGCGTGCGCACCTGGACCCGCGGGCTCCGCCGCGAGGCCAAGGAGGGCATCTTCGCGAAGGACGTGCTGATCGTGCCCGTCCACGACCCCGAGGCGGCGCACTGGTGGCTCGCCGTGGTCCTCGACCCGCGCGCCGCCGGAGGCTCGGAGGGGGCGGCCGCCACGGGCGCCGCGCGCACGCGGGTCGTGCTCCTGGACTCGCTCAGCCAGGAGGACCCAGAGGCCGCGGGCCGACGGCAGGGGGCGGCCGTGGAGCTCCTCCGCGGCTACCTCGCGCGCGAGTGGGCGGAGTGCACGGGCGGCTGCTACGCCCCCGAGCGCGTGGAGGCTCTGGCTCCAGACGCCCCGCAGCAGACCAACGACATCGACTGCGGCCTCTACGTGCTGGAGTTCGCCCTGCAGCTGCTGCAGTGCCCCGCCGGCCTGGGGGCGGTCAGGGCCGGCTCGTCCTCCACGCCGCTGCGGGTGCCCTGGGATGAGGGGGGGCTGCGGAGCCGCTGGCTGGAGATCTCGGAGGACCTTTTGCGACCAGACGCGGACCCGAACAGGACGTGGCCGGTGCCCTCGCAGCCGCAGGCATGCGCCGCGCCGGCTGCAGTGCCCAGCGGCGGGTCCGTGGACGTGGCCGAGTCGTCAGACGAGGAGCTGCTTGCAGCACCTGGCGGCGCGCCCGAGGCCGCGGGCGTCTCGGCGGCCGCGGCCACAGCCGACGCGGTCGGCGCAGCCAGCGGGGTGGAGGCGCCAACGGCAGGCGGTGGGGCGGCACAGCCGCCGAAGGCAAAGGCCAAGGCGCCCGCGAAGGCCAAGGCCAAGGCCCCCGCGAAGGCAGGGGCGCCGCCCGCGGCCGCGGCCGGGCCGCCAGTGGCCGCGTCCGGGCCGCCAGTGGCTGCGGCCGCGGCCGGGGGCGAGGCGCCAGCGGCGGCGGCGGGCAGTGGGGCGGCACGGCCGCTGGCCAAGGCGCCGCCGCAGAGGGCCGAGGCGCCCGCGAAGGCCGCGGCGCCGCCTCCGGCCGGGGGGGCAGGCGAGGCCGAGGAGGAGGAGGAGGACGAGGTCCTCTCTGCGGCGCCCGCCCCAGCGCCGCCGGGGCCCAAGGCCGCAGGCCAGCCCCTGCCGTGCAAGCGCGCAGCCGCCCCGGAGGGCGCGGCGCCCGCGGTGCCCGCCGAGGGGCCCGCCAGGAAGGCCGCGAGGGCGGAGCCCAAGGATGCCAAGGCGCAGGGCGGCGCCAAGCTGTCCAAAGGCGAGATGGAGGCGCAGGTGTTGCAGTACATGGTGCAGCAGAACCGCCCGTACAACGCCCAGAACGTCTTCGACAACCTGCACGGCGCGGTGCCGAAGGGCCAGGTGCAGGCCTCTCTGGAGGCGCTGGTGCTCTCCGGGGGGCTCGTGGCCAAGGAGTACGGGAAGTTCAAGTACTACCTGGCCAAACAGGCCCCGGTCCAGGAGGGCGACGCGCAGGAATCGGGGGATCGCAGAGGGAGGGTTATCCCAAGGTGGGGCTGGGGAACGGGCCCAGCTGGAAGCTCCTGTTTAACGCGCGTCCTTCTTCCAGGGGCCGTCCGAAGCGATTTTCCCTCCAGCCCCACCTTTGCCCCAACCCCACCTCTGTGCCCCCCCCCGAAGGAAGACACCGCTGCCCTGCAGGCGGAGATCGACTCGAGGGCGCCGGGCCTGAAGGAGCTGCGGAGCCTGGTGGCCGACGCAAGGAATGATGGGCCTGTTTTCCACCACCACCACCACTTCCACAATAAGTTGGGGGGAGGGGAAGCGGGATGAGGAGGAGGAGGAGGAGGAGGAGGAGGAGGAGGAGGAGGAGAAGGAGGAGGAGGAGGACGAAAAAAGGAGGCAGGAGGAGGAGGAGGACGACGACGACGAGGAGGAGCAGGAGGAGGAGCAGGAGGAGGAGGAGGAGGAGGAGGAGGAGCCTCGCACCCTCCTGCTTGTGGTGGTGGCGGTGGAAAGCAAAAGCCCACCAAGGAAGCAGGCCGGGGAGCTGCGCGGCGCCCGCGGCGCCCGCGAGGAGGCGGAGCAGGCCTGCCGCGAGGCCGCGGAGCTGGCGCAGCGGGCGGCCGAGCTGCAGAAGGCCCCGGAGGGCGGCGGCGAGGTGGAGCAGGCCGGCTGGGAGATGCCCAGGCGGAGCGGTGGCCCCAGGGAGGAGGAGGAGGAGGAGGAGGAGGAGGAGGAGGAGACAGGAGGAGGAGGAGGAGGAGGAGGAGGAGGAGGAGGAGGAGGAGGGGGAAGGGGAGGGGGAGGGGGAGGGGGAGTGAGGAGAGAGCGTGTGGTGCGTCGGCGGGGATTCGGGGTGGCCGCTCTGTGTTGGTCTGGAGGCCCCCCAGAGGAGGTCCCAGGTGAGACGGGGTCGGAGGATCGCGCCGCATCGCCGAGGGCTCCTTGGGGGGCGGGGTGGGGAGCGGGCCTGGGCCTGGGAGGCCCAAGTATGAAGTCGGGCATATCCCTTTGCGAAATATTCAAGAATGGTAAAAAAAGTATGGAGACGATGAATGGTGTATTTTGTATTCTGCTTGTTGCATTTGTATGTGTATCTTCCTTCCAAAATCAGCCTGTCGGAGGACATGCCCGACCTGTCCCAAGCACTTTGCACCCCTTGCTCCGATCCCCCCTCCCGTACCTCCCTCGACCACGCGTAAGAGTGGCCCTTCGCCAGGGTCCCCCGATCGCCGAACGCGATGCGATGGGGGCGTCGTGCGCGCTCGCGTTTGGTCTTCCCGCGGCCCCCCAAAAAGCCGCGCACCAAAGGTCACTCTTCCCCAGGGTCGCTCTTGCGTGTAGTCGACCACCCCCTGCCTCCCTCCTGCAAGTGCGTCAGGCTGCAACTCCTGGGAGGCCGACCTCAACCTCGGCCCTGGCCCTTCCTTCACACCGATCTGGCCCGGTCCAGCTCAGTCTGGCCACTGTAGGCCCGGATTGCTCATTCTGGCCGATACCAGCTCGCTCTGGCTCGATGCAGAGGTTCTTGGTTTGGCTCACTGTAGTTCCTCACCGTTGCCACGAAGACCTCCCCTGAGTTGCAACCTAACTTGAGGGGCCAGTTCTTGGATCATAAGCGGGGCCCCTGGCGGCCATTCTCCACGAACCGGGCACCCCCGAATCACTCTCGGTGAGGCGCAGCTGCTGGAACGCCTCCCGAGACAGAAAAACCTCCAGGAATCGACAAAAGCACGTCCCAAGACCTCGAAAGCCTCGAACCCTGCGAAGCGCTCTCGGTGTGGCGCAGCTGCCGGAACGCCTCCCGAGGCAGGAAAATTTCCCGGGACGACAAGCACGTCCCAAGACCTCCAATGCGAACGCCTCGAACCTTGCGAAGCGCTCTCGGTGAGGCGCAGCTGCTGGAACGCCTCCCGAGACAGGAAAACCTCCAGGAGCCGACAAAAGCACGTCCCAAGACCTCGAAGGCCTCGAATCTGCGAAGCGCTCTCGGTGAGGCGCAGCTGCTGGAACGCCTCCCGAGGCAGGAGAGCCTCCAGGAGCCGACAAAAGCACGTCCCAAGACCTCGAAGGCCTCGAACCCTGGCGAAGACTCTAGGTGGAGCCCGGGGGATAGACTGGAAAGCGGTGGGCGCATCGACTCACCGCCCACCAAACCACGCCCACCCAACCCGACGATCCCGGTCCCGGAGGTCCTAGTTTTCTAGGCCTCCTAGATGGGGTCGGAGTAGATGGGGTCGGAGGATCGCGCCGCATCGCCGATGAATCGCCGATGCGGCTCGATGCGGAGGTCGATTTTCTCCACGCCGACGCTGCCGACGCATCGCCGACGTCGCCGATGCATCGCCGCTGCATCGGCGATGCGGCACGATCCTCCGACCCCATCTACTCCGACCTCATCTGGGAGGCCCCTATCCACCCAACCCGACGGTCCCGGAGGTCCAATTTTGGAGGGACGTCCCGCAACACTGGAAGCGCACAGTGGAATTTGGACGCCCCCTAATCCTAAATGGGTCATTCCGGGTTGGGTGGGGGTGGTCCGGCAGGTACGGTGGGGGCGTTCGCTCAAGGAACGTGCCCAGGAGGTTTCAGACCCTCTGGGATCCCTTATCCGATGGGGGCGGCGATGATGTCCATGGCCGAGCCTCAGCTGGTGGTCCAGACCCTGGATTCCTGGATGTTCTGACCAGGGTTCCTTCCGATACGGTCGGAAGTTTTTCGATAGCGTGTCGCGCCGCCGATTCTGGCCCACCACGCTGCGGCGCGGCACGCTGTCCACTTCTTGGTCCCCTAGCGCTGACGTCCCGAGCCTTTCCGAGCCTCCCGCTCCACGGAGCGGAGCGGCACGCTGTCCGCTGGCACGGCGTAGCATGTCGCCGGGGCCGCCATTGCGACACGCCAGCCAGAGGTTCTTGGTCGTATCCAAGGGCTCCTTATCCAAGGGCTGGGGACGCAGGCCGCCTGGGGCCCTGAGCAGCCTGCAGCACTCTCAGGGGGCTCTTCCCCGCACGACTCTCTCTGGCTCTCTCTCCTTCTCTCTCCCTCTCTCTCTCTCTCTCACCTTCTCCTCCTCCTCCTCCTCCTCCTCCTCCTCCTCCTCCTCCTCCTCTTCCTCCTCCTCCTCCTCCTCCTCCTCCTCCTCCCCCTCCCCTCCCCCTTCACTCTCTCCGAGTTCCATGTGTCTTACGCATGCGTCGACAAAAACGGCGCCGTCTCCGCAGTCGGCGGTGGTCTCCCCCAGAGTTATGATGTTCCAACCGACCTCAGCCTTGACCACCAGCAAGAATTTCGAGCGCCACGAAAGTACCGAAACTTGCAGGTGCTCACGTGTCGGGCCCTGGGAGGCGGTACTCGTTCGACACTGTTTCGATACCCTTCTGTCAGGAGGGGAAGAAACACACAGACACCATTCATCGTCCACTCCCAGGAAAGTATCGGAAACTATGGGAAGTGGGGGGGAAGACAACAGCCCAGAAAGTATGGGCACATGTGGGCAATGTGTTTAGTTGTGTGTACTTGTGAATGTGTGTGAATGTGTGTGAGTGTGTGAGTGTATATGAATGTGTGTCAATGTGTGTGTGTGTGTCAATGTGAATGTGTGTGAATGTGTGTGAATGTGTGTGAATCTATGTGAATATGTGTGAATGTGTGTGTGAATGTGTGTGAGTGTGTGTGTGTGTTAAAATGTGCGAATGTGTGTGAATGTGTGTGAATGTGTGTTCATGTGTGTGAATGTGTGCGAATGTGCGTGATGACGTGAGTGTGTGTGAATGTGCGTGAATGTGTGTGAATGTGTGTGAATGTGTGTGAATGTGTGTGAATGTGTGTGAATGTGTGTGAATGTGTGTGAATTGTTGTGTTATGTGTGTGAATGTGGAGAGTGTGTGAATGTGGTGAATGTGTGTGAATTGTGTGAATGTGTGTGAATGTGTGGTGAAATATGTTGCGAATGTGTGTGAATGTGTGTGGAATGTGTGCAAATGTGTGTGAATTGTGTGTGCAAGTGCGGTGAATTGTGTTGCATATGGGTGAATGTGATGGTGAGGTGTATGGAGTGTGTATGTGTGTGTGTGTCCCAGGGCCCCTTCATCTGGGCGCTCGAAATTGTCCCTGGGATGTGGCCGTCAGGCGCGATGGGAGTAGCATTAAGTCGGGCGTGTCCCCCTACAGAGACATTTTCGCCAAAAAATAATGATCCCAGTGCGACCCTACCTAGGAGTTGGAACCCCTAGGAAAGCAGCATTAGTAGTAACAGTAACGCTAAGCTAAAGCTAAGCTAAAGCTAAGCTGAAGCTAAGCTAAAGCTAAGCCACAGCTGAGCTAAAGCTGAGCTCAAGCTAAGCTAAAACTAAGCTAAAGCTAAGCTAAAGCTAAGCTAAAGCTGAGCTAAAGCTAAGCTAAAGCTAAGCTACAGCTAAGCTAAAGCTAAGCTAAAGCTAAGCTAAGCTAAGCACAGCTAAGCTAAAGCTAAGCTAAACGCTAAGCGAAAAGCTAAGCGAAACGCAAGCTAAAGCTAAGCTAAAGCTAAGCTACAGCTAAGCTAAAGCTAAGCTAAAGCTAAAGCTAAAGCTAAAGCTCCCAGGGGACTGGGGGGAACCGCGGGGCGGGGACCGGGGGAACCGCCCGGGGCGTGTAGCACTGCCCGGCCCCTTTAAGCTAAGAGAGTAAGAACCCTTCTAGGCAGAGCCTAGGTAGGGAAAAATACCCCAACAATGTCCCAAAAAGGTAAAACATACTCCAAAACTAGTCCCCAGACTATTTTTGGAATATGTTTTGATTATTTTGGGGGTATTTGTTTTTGTTCGTCGAAAATCCCCCTGTAGGGGGACGGGCCCGACTTACGAGCAGCAGTGGCCCCGGAGGTCGACCCGCGGGAGGCCGAGCGCCTGGAGGCAGAGCTGCGGGGCGCCCTCGCGGCGTGGCGCCAGCGGCGGCGGCTGTGCCTGGACGCGCTCGGCGCGCTCAGCGAGGGCACCCCCACCGGGCGGCGGCGGAGGGGGAGGAGGAGGAGGAGAGGGGGGGGGGGGAGAGGAGGGAGGAGAGGAGGAGGGGAGAGGAGGAGGAGGAAGGAGGGGAGGAGGAGGAGGCGGAGGAGGAGAGGAGGAGGAGGAGGAGGAGGAGGAGGGAGGAGGGGGAGGAGGAGGAGGAGAAGCGTGAGCAGGAAGGAGGAGGAGGAGGAGGAGGAGGAGGAGGAGGAGGAGGAGGAGGTGTGGTTCGTCGGGTTCGGCAGCAGATCATGGAAGCCCAGAGTGCCCGTGTCGTTCCGTCTTCAGCGTCGGTTGTCGTCGATTGGCGTGCATCAGCGTCGAGCGGGCCTGTCCCTCCACGGGGGGAAGACGCAGACATAGTCAAAAGGTAGCTACGAGGGGCGATGCGTCGACGAGGTTCGGCTGTGTGGGAGTAGATCTTTTTTGACTGTGCTCTGCGTGCCCTCGAGCATCCGCCTGTGGGAGGACATGCCCGACCTGACCTTGGCTGCCCTTGGTGTCCCCGCGTTGAAGCAACACCTCGAAGAAGAAGAAACGCCATAAACATCCGCGCGGAGCGCCAAGCATTTATGCCGTTCCTTCTGATTCTACCTTAGCTGCCCATAGTGCCCCCGCGTTGAAACGCGACACGTACCGTGCTCAAAATTTCCGTGTGAACACGCTGCGTGTTGGCTCAACGTGTTGGCCCACGTGTTGGCGAAAGTCTCGCGACGAGCGTGCTTTTCGATCCCCGTGTTGAGATCCGTGTCAAGAAGCGACGTGTTGCGTGTGGCGTGTCGGGGCAGCTAAGCCCAGATCTCTCGTGGGGGAAGCGTGAGACTCGGGCTTGCCAGAAATCGGGTTTTCATGGCACTGGGCCCCTACCAGCCGAAAAGGCTTGTGACCGAAACAAATAATCGGTGGCCTAAAAGGTGTCCGACATTGTGACCAAGTGCGTAGTGTGACTGAAGTTGTGATCAAACTTGAAGAAAATTGCTTTGGTTTCGACCCAAACGGACGTCAAGGGGCTCAACCAACCTGTTCGGTCAAACTGGAGTTGATGTACCACACTTGGCGTCAAGCCAAAATGTTGGACATTAGCGAATGGTCGGATGTTGCACAGCTTCGTCGGCTCAACCGGCGAGGCTTGTGACAACCTTGACGTCCTTTTTTGGTGGTCCTGCAGAGGAAGGTGCTCTCTGACCCTCGGCCCTACTCAAGTCACACTCGGTCGCGGTCGAACATCTGTGAGCGCCGGTGTCGGTCACACTCGGGCAGCCTGTTCGGGCACAGGTTCGGCCACTACACCCCAATGGTAGAGACGAGGCTGGATGAGGTTTGTCCTTGCTTTTTGGCTGGGCGGTCTTGGCATGAGTTTTGACGGCCGCGTTTCGTGAGACTCTTGCAGCGGGGACTCGCGTCGAAGTTCAGACTGCGTTCATGCTTGTTGATGGCCCTCGCTGTCCAGCTCAAGTCCCCCAAAGTCGAGCCTTACGTCCCAGATATCGATGATCCTCCGAACGTGTGTCAGCCCAATGTGAGTTACCCCGCCTCAGCTCCGCCGATGACTCGCAGTCGTTGACAGTCATCAGCGCGCAAAGCAAGTGTTGCGGGGCCTCGTCGGGGCCCCGCAGGAGTCGTCTTTTCGATGCGGCTCGCCTCTTGCCCTTGCTTAAACATTGACCATAAGCTCCTCCTCCCGTCCTAATCCTTTTATTTCCTCCGCCTCCTGAATCCCCTCCCTCCTCTTACCCGCTCCTGCCCCTCGCCCCTCTCCGCCGACAGCTAGTGCACATTACCGACGCAACTTCCCGTTACTGACGTAACCCTTTCCGTCAGTAAGGGTGGTTGTTGGCGTAGAAATAGCATCGTGTTTTCGGTCGTTCAGTGGATCCGACGTAACTTCCCGTTACCGACGTAACGTTTCCGATAGTAACGGAATTCCCCCGTTAATAACGTACATGTTCCGTCCGTTTAGTTATTTGTGCGGGCTGTGGCAGAGCTTGGCTCCCGCGACGCACGAGGGACATGTGTTTCCCCAGCCCGTTTATTTTGAGTCAGCCAAGTACTCTGAGCTTGATTTCGCACGCGGCACCTGTGATCCACCAGCGTGCCAAGACCCTCTGTGAAAAGACGGGAGTCAACGCAAACGGGGGTCAGCCAGAGCGCCCGATCTTGCAGGATCTTGCAGGGTCAGGGTCGCACTGACCCCGGCTTGGGTGCAGGATCCTGCAGGATGTTGCAGGATCTTTCGCATCGACCCGGTTTTGGGTGCAGGATCTTGCAGGAGTTTGCAAGGCATGATTGACCCGGGTATGGATTGACCCGGGTCAGAAGATCCCCAAGCCTTACGTCCTGCGGGAGTCCAGCCCGCGAGACCGTGGACGCGGTCACGTGCCCGGCTTCGAGGAATCGTAAGATTCGAGAAAGCCGGAACTCGAGTTTGCCGACGTTTTTTGACGAGCGCGTCTTGGATTTTGACGATCCAGTCGTCGTGGGACGTTTGCAGCCGGAGCTCGCGTCAAACTTCAGATTGGGTCTCGTCATTTTCATGATGACCCCGTCAGGCCACCCCTCTGCACGAACGAGATGGGCACGGAACGAATGGGTACAATGCCCAACAGCGGATCCTGTTCATTTTGAACAGGACTCGCTGTCCACGCCGCCGCGGCCTGTGTTCATTTGAGACACAAGGCCGCCTGCCCAACAGCGGCCGCTGTTGGTGTAGGGACAACATGTGTTGTTGGGCGTTGTACTCACTCTTTCCGTACCAATTTCGGGCGTCCAAAAACCCGAGTCCCCCATGCCCGAGCCTTACGTCTCCTTGGCATCGCTCGGACGTGTGCTTTTTTTTCGGCGAGAACCATCCAGGACCATCCTGGACCATCGAGCCAAAAAAACACGCACGAAACCGAAAAATGCACGGGAAATGGGCGTCCGAGCGACGGCAAGTCTCCCCGACCGCTCCTTGGGGAGGCATGGGCGTCAAGCTCTCGAAGCTCGTCGAGAGGTACGGCGTCGACACCGACGAGGAGGCGGGCCACGCGCTGCCGCCCGCATGACGGCGGGGCTCGGTGCCACAGGCAGGCGCCCCTCCCCCACCTCCTCCTCCTCCTCCTCTCCCCTCCTCCTCCTCCTCCTCCTCCTCCTCCCCTCCTCCTCCTCCTCCTCCTCCTCCTCGCCCCTCCTCCTCCTCCTCCTCCTCCTCCTCCTCCTCCTCCTCCCTCCTCCTCCTCCTCCTCCTCCTCCTCCCTCCCGGCTGCAGCTGCGGCTTATGCGGTTCACCTTGCCGCAGCCCACGCGCTGGCCCGACATGTGGGAGGCATGGCGGTCCCTCGTTGGACGACTCGATCAGTTGGGCGAGGACGACCTCGACCACCTGATGCACGACCTGGAGAAGTGCGCCGAGCGCGCTGCTGGCCAGGCCTCCTACCGCAGGTACAAGGCATGGGTGGACTGGTCCCATGATGCCACCGATGACGGCGGCATGCGGCGCGCCTTCAAGTGGATCAAGCAGGATGCCCCCTGGGCGTGCACCAATGCGGCGGCTGGACCTGGCATTGCCAAGTCTCTCGTGGACGAGGCACGTGACGCTGTTCAACCGTGGCACGACCTATGGGGCCAAGGCGAAGGCATCACAGCCGTTCGCTGGCCCACGGACGTCGGGGACATCGAGCTCCCGTCGATCGATGACCTGCGGAAGACAGCACACACCTTCAAGTCGGACACAGGGCTGGGCTGTGACGTGGTCCACCCTCGACATTTGATTTTTCTAAGCGATGATGCGCTACAGACCTTGCTGGAACTCTGGTCTCAGATGTTGCGTCTTGGCTACGTCCCGGCCCCGATTCGTGTCATGCGCGAGGCTCTCCTTCCGAAGCCCGATGGTGGGAGACGCACAATTGGCATATTCCCTGGCACGGTGCGGCCACTGACGCGATACTTGCGGGCCACCACGGGCGCGAAGTGGGCCGACAAGAACAAGCGCAGCTACATCTTCGGCACCGAAGGTCAGAGTTGTGAGGCCTGTGTATGGAGGCAGGCGGCTGCAGGCGAGTGGGCCACACACAGTGGTAAGACCTGCCTCTCCATCTTGCTGGACCTCTCCAAGGCTTATGAGTACATCCGCTGGAACCGTCTGGCGACCTGTGCTACCGATCTGGGCTTCAACATGTGCTTGCTACGGCTGCTGCTCATGCTGTACTCCATGCCCAGGCTGCTATCCTTCGAAGGCATCGTCTTCGAGCTGATGACGCCGATGCGTGGCGTGGTAGCAGGATGCTCATTCGCTGACCTGATGATGCGCATTTTTCTTATTCCCATTTTGGATGACCTGGTGAGCCTGCCTGGCATCTCGGTCGGCAACGTGGTCGACGACATCCAGATGCAGTCTACAGGCACTCGGCCCACCGTCGTGCAGCAGCTCAGCAAGGCTTACCGCCAGGTGAGGAGTGCACTCCACGACGCCGAGCTGCTGCTGAACGAGAAGAAGGGCAAGCTCCTCGGCAATGACTACCAGGCCAGCGTGGACCTCGGCAAGCGCTGCCCGTCGCTCGTGCAGGCCAGAGACCTGTCGACTCGCAACCTGGGCTGCGACTACAGCTGCGGCAAGCGGCAGGGCATGCGCACGCGGCTGGGGCGCCTGGGCAAGGTCAGAAGGCGCTGTGTAAAAATCCGAGCACTTCGCAGGGCCAGGGGAAAGTGCAAACAGCTGGTCAGCATGGGGCTGGTCCCTGCTGGGACCTGGGGTGACGGGGTCACTGGAAGGTCGTGGAGCGGAGTGATGGCCCTCAGGAGGGCTGCGAGGGCGGCCCTGTTCCCTCACACGGCCCGCAGATCCCTCACCATAGACCTGGCTCTGGTTCCTGGAGACACCGCGCCCATCGACCCCGCGTACCCTTGCACGGTGAACCCCATTGTCATGCTCGCCCAAGCCTTCTGGGACGCCTGGATGCCTCGGGAGATCTTGTGCCGTTTGCTCTTCAACGCGGACAAGGCCCTCAGAGGGGCCAAGACACCCTGGAGCCAGGTTACGGGTCCTGTTTCGGCTGCGTTGGCTTCTTGTTTCAGGATCGGTTGGACTCTTGGAACGGGTGTGGGCAAGTTGTGTACTGCCGACGGTGAAGTGCTTGATCTCTGTCGTGAGTGCCCCCGCACAGTGAGGATGGTTGCGCAGTGGGGTGTCGAGGCTTGGCTCCTTGACAAGGCCCGCTGCGAAGAAAGCTACCTTAGTACCCTCTCCCACGGACCCTACCTCGCCCCTCTGAAGGCCCTGGTGTCTAGCCGTACTGATGACGACTGGACTGGCATGCACAAGGCTACGCTCCGATGTCTTGCGGCCAACGGGTTCTGGGGGGATGAGCGGCTGCACAGTGTCGGCCTGAGGGATAGCCCAATGTGCTCGCTCTGCGGTGAGGCTCCTGGGACCGTGGGGCACTGGTGTTGGGGGGACTGCGCGTGCACTTGGGCTTTCCGTCGCGACTACCTAGTGCCACCTTCATTGCGAGAGGGTGCCTTAAATCACCTTGACTGGCCCCTCTGGAGCCACGGCCTCGTGGCCGACCCTCGGCCCTGGCTTCCTCGTCCCACGATGGACCTGCTCGTTCACTGGCGCGTGCGACCCCCGTCGGGGGCCTTTGAAGGCCCATGTTTTGGAGACGGCTCGTGCCGTTCGCTCGTGGCCTCTGACCCCAGACTTCGCCGTGCTGGCTGGGGAGTCGTCCAGGTGAATTCGAGCGGTTTGGATGTTTTGGCCTCGCTGTGCGGCCCCCTCCCAGGTTTAAACCAGAGCCCTGAGGTTGCCGAACTCTTTGCTCTCAAGATGTATCTTGATAATGTAATGTTTGGCCCTTATGAGTACCTCTCTGACTGTGATTGGGTGGTCTCCAGCTTCCGTAAGGGACGCTGTGAGACCACTGGTGCGCTGCACGCCTGTGCCGACTTATGGGAGGGGGTTTGGGACCGTGTGTCGGACTTGGGGGGGGAGGTTGTTGTGATTAAGGTCAAGGGTCACGCGCGTGTGCGTGATGACGACCTTGACGAGGGTGCTCGATGGAGGCGCCTAGGAAATAAGGCTGCTGATGAGTCGGCGCGCGCTGGAACCGCCATGCACCCCTCCGATCAGGAGGCCGAGGATCGAGTGATCCGTTCCCATCGGCTGGTCCAGTATGTGGGTAAGTACTTGGCCAGGACCATCCGTGGGGCAGGGCCAAGTCTGGCCTCCGCCTCCCGTCGCGAGGTGGGGCTTCGGAGGGGGCGCCGTATCGTCCCTCGGCTCTCGGATGATGTTGCGCCTCCCGAGGGCACTCATGACCCTGTCTGGTTTCCCAAGGGCGGCTTCAGGTGCATCAGGTGCCTGAGATCGGGGAGCACGATCCAGATTTTGAAGGCCACCCCCTGCAGACCTGGAGCTGGCCACCGCGTCTGGACGGTGGGCCCTTTTGTGTTTTGCAGTGTATGCGGTGCTTATAGTGAGCACAACACCCAGAAGCTCGGCCAGGATTGCCACGGAAGCTGCCCGCGTGGGTCTGTTGCGTGGGACCGCCTGCGTAAGCTGTGGCGTGGCTGCCACCCCCGCAGCGGGATCGAGCTTCGGGCCTCGGGAGTCGGACCCCGCCCCACCCCCTTTGGCGCATTCGCCCTCGACCACAAATTTAAGGGCCTGGAGGTCCTTCCTGGTTCCGAGGAGGAGGATGATGCTTGAGGCTGGTTGGTCCTGGGTCCGCTCCCGTTTTTGAACTTTTGTGTTTTTCCTGACGGAGGCACTCGCCCCCCCTTCTTGCTCCTCCTCACCCCGCCTGGGAGGTGCCCGTCAGCCCACTGTTCGCGCCCTAAGCGCGAGGCCGCTGGCTGCTAGTCTCGACTGCACCCCTTGGCCCCACCAGCACAAAACTCCTCCTCCTCCTCCTCCTCCTCCTCCTC